TCATATAAAAAAAGGCCCTAAGGAAGACGGCATCATAACAACACAGTATCGAATGGTTTGTGTGCCGACTTCTGAAGTTTACAGCTCGAAATAGGGAGAGGTTAGAGTTAAATTTGGTCTATGGTGAGAGCAAGGTTAGCAATTTTACCTGAGGGTGGGGGATTTACCGCCAAACGGTGTACGTCCAGAGGCGTAGCTAGGGGGGGGGGCGGAAGGGGGGGGCGGCCGCCCCGGGCGCCGACCCTAGGGGGGCGCCAAAAGGGGTGGAAAATTTTTTTTAAAGCTGGTTTTATGCTGCAGTTTTGAATTATAAACAGTTTAAGTTAAGCAATGTAATGGCTAAGAGCCTTTACATACTCATTTAACTGTTTTCTACCTTGATTATTAACTGTAAAACATATAATCTTAAGAAGCAGAGAGCGGCAAAACCGCTTTCCAGCTTTTCCTAGATTATGTGTTGGCGGGGGGGGGGGGGGCGCTTTTTTCGAGACTAAAATCGGAAGAATTTACACTAGATTGGTGGATCAATCAGCGTTACCACTTATCAAAACAATCAATTGTATTAAAATGTATTGTACGATTGTTTAACCGCAAAATACGTTAGTGACTTATCAAGATGTTGCAGGGGGGGGGGGGGCGCTTTTAGGTTTACTAAAATTGCAAAACTACACTGGATTTTGAGTAAACAACCTTTAGCACTTCTTTAAGAAATTAACTGTGCTAAAGTGCATTGTACGATTGTGTAACATTTTTTAAAAAAGTTAGAAAGTTGGTTACATTAAAACCCGCTCTACAAACTGTGTCCAATATGGTTGGGAGATGTGCATGGGGGGGGGGGGCTCTTTTTTCGCGAAAAAAAATCGCAAAGTATTTGTACTGAATTGGTAAGTAGATAACTCTTTTCACACTTAGAAAAGAAACCATTGTAGTAAGGCGCCATGTACAATTTCACTAGCCAGTGTTATTAAGTAATGACGCGACGATCAGTAAAATAGCATACGTTCGGAGCGGGTGGGCAGAAGACGATATTCTTGCCGAAATTTTAAGAGCTAAAAACATAAGTATATTGTACAGAGTAGATCATTTTTATTGCTTGTTTCATTACAAGTCCTAATACTGCAATTTTCATATAGTTAAGGCCACTAGACCTACTAAACGATGTAAGCAACACGACGACAGGTGATGCTTTGTCACTTTGTTCAACCTAACTGATAATTTAAAACTATAATACACTATTATTGAAATTGTTCTAAAGACACATCCAAACGTAGACCAAATAAGCTTGCATCTTATACAAACTACACTCTAAAGCTGTGGTTCTTAACCTTTTGGAGGTACCGAACCCTACCAGTTTCATATGCGCCTTCACTGAATTCTTCTTAATCAGTATTTCTTCCAGACTTTTTTCTCTGGGGGGGGGGGGGGGGGGGGGCACTTGAAATTTTCGGGGGGGGGGTGGTAGACTTTCTTCGGGGGGGCGGACACTGTTAAAAGTATATATTTTCTATATAGATTATATAAATTTCATTTCGTTCGGGGGGGGGGCGGTAAAAAAATTTCGGGGGGGGGGGGCTTTGCCCCCCCCCCCCCCCCCCCCCCGAAGAGATGTCTGGAAGAAACTCTGTTCTTAATAGTTTTAACGTCCACATTGACAAAATCTTATCGTGAATCATATGAGTCGGGTGTGTGTCTTGACATCCGCCGAAGCTCTGAGACTTACATACCGAACACTTGGATTCGATCGATCGAACCCAAGTTAAGAACCACTGCTCTAAGTTCGTTTGATTTTCTTTCTTTTTTTTGTTTTGATTTGCTAAGGAGCATAGGCGTAGGACGTAGGCAACACTTCGTCAACTCACTTAATTTTTATAAAGAAAGAACCCTAATAATCGAATCATATGAGTCGGGTGTGTGTCTTGACATCCGCCGAAGCTCTGAGACTTACATACCGAACACTTGGATTCGATCGATCGAACCCAAGTTAAGAACCACTGCTCTAAGTTCGTTTGATTTTCTTTCTTTTTTTTGTTTTGATTTGCTAAGGAGCATAGGCGTAGGACGTAGGCAACACTTCGTCAACTCACTTAATTTTTATAAAGAAAGAACCCTAATAATCGAACATCCCCATTCTCTAGTTCAAACGATTTTTTTCAGACATTTTTTGTCACCTTCTCTTCCTCTTTCTCGTGGAATAAACATCAGCACCTGCTTAGTGATGTTATTTACTGTCTTTCTTATATGGTGCCCTAACCACCACTTTTCCCATGCTCTTATTTCATTCTCCGTTGTCTGTAATCTAGCTGCGAGCCATACAGTAAAAGAGACTAACACACACACACACACACACGCTTACACACACATACACGATTATACACACACATACATATATATATATATATATATATATATATATATATATATATATATATATATATATATATATATATATATATATATATATATATATATATATATATATATATATATATGTATATATATATATATATATATATATATATATATATATATATATATATATATATATATATATATATATATATGTATAGTGCAGATACATATAGTGCAGATACATATATATATATACATATATATATATATATATATATATATATATATATATATATATATATATGTATATATATATATATATATATATATATATATATATATATATATATATATATATATATATATATATATATATATATAAAGGGGGGGGGGGCGCCAAATTGGAAGTTCGCCCCGGGCGCCGGGAAGGGTCGCTACGCCTCTGTGTACGTCATGACAACTAGTTTATACGCACCAAATAAAATATCAAATTCTGATTATATTTTTTTTTAATTAATTAAAATGATTCAACTTGAGTTCGCCAAACACTAGCTTCACGTTTATGTCCACCTTCGCATATATTATCAGTGTCAGGCCATACCACACGTTGATTGGACGATAAATATAGAATCAAGAAATGAATACAAAAAATTGGTTTGACGCACTGATTGGACGTTAAATATAGAATCAAGAGATGAACACAAAAATTGGTTTGTCGCGCAGATTCACGCATAATATGCTTTAATCATACGTTACAAGGGTTTTTTTTTTTATAGAAGAAAAGTGATGATTTTTATCCTTTTTTTGACGCTTCGTTCGTTACCCATAGTAATTAACTTCGTATTTTCATGCTAATGATTGCTAATTAAATAAAGCCGTTGGGAAAACTCATTTGAGCAAATGTTCACCTGTATTTTTTGGAGAGCGACAATATTTGTAAAAGGTGAGATCAACTCATCATCCCTCCTTTTCTCCCCCTCCCCCATGCGAGAATATAAGACTGTAAATGTGAGTCGTCGTCTGTTAAAATACTCAGACAGACATTCGTCATCGGTTTTTGGAGATCTTTTTGAGCCAGGTCAACGTGACCGAGGTGTGGGCCAACATACATTTGCTCACGTGATGGTCCTATGTTTGTTATGATGGAGACCGATGTGAAAATGGGCCCGACTTGTACAAGTTCTTGGCCTAAAAGTGACCTAACAGTCTTCACAGTGACCTGACGATCATCACAATGACCTAACGAACATCACAGTGAACTAGAGAATGACCTTTTTGTCACTGTAAGACAAGCAGTCGTGTTGATCAGACACAAATGGTTGTGACCAAAGACGTGGCTGACCCATAAGGGACGAGTGACCCGTCCGATGACCCATACAAGACTGACCCATGCCCTAACCCAAACATGGCGGTTGACCCATCCACTACCCCACCCAGGTAGTGCAAGATTACCCGTCAACCCCGCTGACCCGAGAGGTTAGTACTCCATGACCCATGGGCCGGTCAGAACTCAGAGAAAAAAATTTGCTGATGCTACCCCCAAAGACAACACGGTAGGGCTGTTCCTCTAACGATATAGCCAGACTTGAACGACCCTCAAACACAAGATTTTTTTTTGTCAACACAACTTTAAGCAGTATCTTCCTAACTACGACAGTGCCTGCCAATGAGAGGAAATAAAGGAAAATCCAAAAGAAATTTACAATCAAAAGAAATTTAAAATGGGGTTATAAATTTACATTGACTAATATGCCATGATACCGTTTTGTCTATAATTACTCAAAATATGTTTAAATATATGGACGGTTCCATCATCGTATGTTTTAATTTTTTTTTTGCTTTTAAAATTGTTTTACCAAGTATGGTTCGCTCATTGAAAATCTCGATACATTATGTTAATAAGTATAACATTTGGATAGAAATGAATGCATAGACCTTCATTACTAGAGTTGTTAAGTAGGTGCTAAGATTTCTTGGTTAAGTGAGATGCACTGATAGAAAGTTTGGAAACCGAAGTACGAACGTTACTCGGGTAAAATAAGAGACTTAAGCTTTATAACATATACGTATAAATATAATATCAATATATAAAATTTATTTTATGTTATATGTATATACATATTATGTATAAGCATTTATATACATATATTCATATAAATATATATACATATATAAAATATAATACAAGCGTATATATATGCTTATATATATATATGTATATATATATATATATATATATATATATATGTATATATATATATATATATATATATATATATATATATATATATATATATATATATATATATATATATATATATATATATATATATATATATATAATTTTTATACATGTTAAATGATAATAGCATACTTATAGCGTATTTCACATTGTAACACTGATGCAATTCGCTGTTTCACATATCGGAATTTAAATGCTACAGTTGTAATTGATATTGTAACAACTAACTAATCATGCACGGTTCCATGTAAAAACTACAACATGATGACCCTGATCAAACTAAATACCAACAACACACGCACCACACCCCCGGCAACGCATGCGTCAAATCTATAAATAGAACATGTGCTAAAATACTCACGACCATCGCCAGAACACACGAGACACAAGTAAGACAACCTGGACGTACCTTGTTGGCTCTGATGACGTCGCTTCCTGTTCCGAAAGTCTGAAGGCAACAAACGTGTCCGGCCGGTTTGAGCTAGGTCGGGAGTTACAATTTGCTCAGGGCTTCCAGAGATTTCACTCGGCACATACCGTTTTTTAAAACAGAGGCTTTGCTGTTTTGGTTAGCGTTGGGGGTTGAGTAATTTCTTCCTGCTTATCTGAAAGCTGGGCAGTCAATAGCCTGAGCTAGAGGAGACGCGAATATTTATTTTTTTCTGTTGAAATCTTCTAGCTGATTTTTTTTTTTTTTGTTCTTTGGTACAGAAACACGATTCTCTTTTGAAGATGTTTTTTTTTTATATTACGTTGAAGATAATTTAGTGTGTATTTATTATTATTTTAACCACGGTGTCTTGTGAATTTGTTTTTGTTTTTTATTCGTGTATCTTCTTGCTTTGTTTGCCTTCTTTAAAGTTTCTGAAAATAATAAGATATGTAACGGTTTTAAAAAAAATTTTCTACAAAGTGTTGTGAAAGGTTAATTGAGCTTCTAAAAGATTAATTTCAAATTTTTAAAAATATATCAATTAATTAAATTAATTACTGTGTTATGTAAGTCAGTGAAAAGAATAAATAATAGCAGACAGACATGTAGGTCTACAATTCATACAAACTTTAACGGAAAAAAATGTAATGTATTATGTCTTTAATGAATGTTTACACTTTATAGAATTATCATTGAGCACGTTCTTCATTATTCTCATTGAAACCTTTGTGACTTTATCGAGTTAAGGTAGACTACAATAAAACCATACTAATTTCTTCAATACCTAACCTAAAATCTAATTTCATCCAAACTAAAAAACCTAAAACCTAATTTCCTCACACCAAACCTAAATCCAAATTTCCTCACCCTAAAACCTATCATCCTTACCACCAAACCTAAAAATCTAACATCCTTACCACCAGACCTAAAACCTAACTAATTTCCTCACACCAAACCTAAAACCTAACATCCTTACCACCAAACCTATAACTTAACATCCTTACTACCAAACATAAAACCTAATATCATCACCACCAAACCTAAAACCTAACTAATTTCTCACACCAAACCTAAATCTTAATTTCCAACACAAAACCTAAAACCTAATTTCCTCACCTAAAATCTAACATCCTTACCACCAAACCTAAAACCTAACATCCTTACCAACAAACCTAAAACCTAACATCCTTACCACCAAACCTAAAACCTAACATCCTTACCACCAAACCTAAAACCTAACATCCTTACCACCAAACCTAAAACCTAACATCCTTACCACCAAACCTAAAACCTAACATCCTTACCACCAAACCTAAAACCTAACATCCTTACCACCAAACCTAAAACCTAACATCCTTACCAACAAACCTAAAACCTAACATCCTTACCACCAAACCTAAAACCTAACATCCTTACCAACAAACCTAAAACCTAACATCCTTACCACCGAACCTAAAACCTAACATCCTTACCACCAAACCTAAAACCTAACATCCTTACCACCAAACCTAAAACCTAACATCCTTACCACCAAACCTAAAACCTAACATCCTTACCACCAAACCTAAAACCTAACATCCTTACCACCAAACCTAAAACCTAATTTCGTAACACCAAACCTAAAACCTAATATCCTCACACCAAACCTAAAACCTAACATCCTTACCGCCAAACCTAAAACCTAACATCCTTACCACCAAACCTAAAACCTAACATCCTTACCATCAAACCAAAAACCTAATTTCCTCACACCAAACCTAAAACCTAACATCCTTACCACCGAACCTAAAACCTAACATCCTTACCACCAAACCTAAAACCTAACATCCTTACCACCAAACCTAAAACCTAACATCCTTACCACCAAACCTAAAACCTAACATCCTTACCACCAAACCTAAAACCTAACATCCTTACCACCAAACCTAAAACCTAATTTCGTAACACCAAACCTAAAACCTAATATCCTCACACCAAACCTAAAACCTAACATCCTTACCGCCAAACCTAAAACCTAACATCCTTACCACCAAACCTAAAACCTAACATCCTTACCATCAAACCAAAAACCTAATTTCCTCACACCAAACCTAAAACCTAACATCCTTACCATCAAACCTAAAACCTAACATCCTTACCATCAAACCTAAAACCTAACATCCTTACCACCAAACCTAAAACCTAACAACCTTACCACCAAACCTAAAACCTAACATCCTTACCACCAAACCTAAAACCTAACATCCTTACCACCAAACCTAAAACCTAACATCCTTACCACCAAACCTAAAACCTAACATCCTTACCACCAAACCTAAAACCTAACTAATTTCCTCACAACGAAAGCTCACAACTCGCACACAAGTAACAATTTTACAATCCAATGTGTATATATTTTTTCCCTCAAATCTTACCTGATGGGACGTCTGTCCTCCACACACATCGACACGGTTACCTGTCTGTTTGTACAAGGTACTGCTCTTATATGGGAAGCTGGGGTGGACCGGTCCCCGTGCTCGCGACGTCATCACCTGTATACCTACGCCGTTTCTATTGACAATTAAAGAAGGATCAAAATTCACAAGTGATCCATGTGTTATTGAGTTAGTTGTTGGAGTTGGATCAGTGGTGTAATGCGCGAGGGTGCTGCGCACGAGTTTGCGTTTGACGTCAGTGAGCCGGGTCTAGTGCATGAGATTTTGTTGCATTAGGGTCGGGCAAATTCCAGTCCGGCTTTGTCAATGACCAATGCCAGGGTAGTCTGATGTTTGTGGAACTGACCAATAGTAGGGTAGTCTATTTTAGGAATTGACCAATAGTAGGGTAGTCTATTTTAGGAATTGACCAATAGTAGGGTAGTCTATTTTAGGAATTGACCAATAGTAGGGTAGTCTATTTGTGACACTGACCAATGGTAGGGTAGTCTATTTGTGACACTGACCAATGGTAGGGTAGTCTATTTGTGACACTGACCAATAGTAGGGTAGTCTATTTGTGACACTGACCAATGGTAGGGTAGTCTATTTGTGACACTGACCAATGGTAGGGTAGTCTATTTGTGACACTGACCAATAGTAGGGTAGTCTATTTGTGGCACTGACCAATGGTAGGGTAGTCTATTTGTGACACTGACCAATGGTAGGGTAGTCTATTTGTGACACTGACCAATGGTAGGGTAGTCTATTTGTGACACTGACCAATGGTAGGGTAGTCTATTTGTGACACTGACCAATGCCAGGGTAGTCTGATGTTTGTGGAACTGACCAATAGTAGGCAGAGTTTCTTCCAGGCTTATCTGCGGGGGGGGGGGGGGGGGTTAAGCCCCGAAATTTTTTACCGCCCCCCCCCCCCCCCCCACCCCGAACGAAATGAAATTTATATAATTTATATAGAAATATATACTTTTAACAGTGTCCGCCCCCCTTCCCGAAGAAAGTCTACCGCCCCCCCCCCCCGAAAATTTCAAGTGCCCTCCCCCCCCCGGAGAAAAAAGTCTGGAAGAAACACTGATAGTAGGGTGGTCTATTTTTGGCACTGACCAATGGCAAGTTAGTCTGATATTTGTGGCAATGCCATTCATTATCAGGTTTCCAAAATGAATTTTATAATTAATATCTTGAATGGGTTATCGTCTTATCGATGTTTTTAAATGTTAAAATAAATGTTATTGGCCGTTTCCCTGTCATATAATTGATTACCTCAATAAAAATGTTAGCGACATCCAACTTCACGTGAACGTTCTTGTCGGCGGTCCGTTTTTCTATGGTACAGCTGATTAACTAATAGTTTAAATACGTTGTGGTTGGGATGAGAATCAAACCTTCTGATTTTTTTATAGGTGATATTTTATGCACCGTTAAAACCTATTCTGTTAGTATGAAAATGTAATAGCCTTTTTATACCATCGTTATGTTGTAAGTAATTAATTCACGTTAAAAAGCAATAGTTATTTCGTTTATTTATTTTGATACAGCACAAGGATAAACAAAAGTCCAGTTGTACTATTCAATAGTTGTTTTTTTTTATAAATCAGAGAATCGCGATGCTTGAAAACATGTTCAATATATCTTTGAAAAATCATCGGATGAAATATGTAATGGGGGGCGCCAAAAAGTTGACATGCTTATTTTTTACAGCCAATCAAATAATTACGTTTTTTGACGCTAACTACTTTCATTCAATTGTGAAACATATTTTTTAGTACTTAGGATTTAATTTTCTTATATCTAATTGATTGTATCTGACATTTTAAAATGTAAAGAAAAAATATCATGTCATTACTACTACATCTAGATATGACAAAAAGAAATTTGATTTCTTCAGTAGGTGATGATTGTTTCGGTGCCTTATAAACTTTGTGCAAAATATAGATTTTTATATCTTTTATATGGTTAAAAATTTAGTTTTTATGAAAAATACTTTTTTGTATTTATGTGCAGAATTTCTTCCATCTCTTCAAGGGGGCAACACCCCCCCCCCCCGACCCACGAAGCACGTCTACCCTCTATACCCCCATACCCCCGCCCGAAGGAGACAGACTTTAAATTAAATCATATACACTTTCACCAGTGCCCGCCCAACCCCCCCCCCCCCCTTTCCAAGGAAAATTTAGTCCGCCCCCCCCCCCCACACACACACCCACAAGAAAAAACGTCACGTCTGAAAGAAACACTATTTATGATATATACGGTATTTAGGTTCAAACAATGCAAGGATTTTTTGAAGTCTAGCATTTATCGTTGAGTGTGTTGGAGCGAGTGGGGTTTGAACCCAGATCACTTGTGTTTAACTCGGGCGTGCTATTGTCACGACAAAATACCCCCACACTGTCATCTCGCTACACTCCCACAACACGGAGCGGCGCCTGATTACACCCCTCATAACACCCCCGAGTCCACCCCAAATCCCACCCCTACCCCCACAATCGTGACCACGCCACCCCCAGCAAACAAGGGCCGATTACCTCAGAAAACAAGAGAGCGACTGTCAAAGTCAACATCCGGGTTTCTTTTTTCCAGTCACATGGTTCAATTTTGACCCCCACAAAAACGCGATAGTCCATTTTAACCCCCTCACCTGCTGAACTAACAGCCACACACGTCTGGTGAATTGTTTCACACACATCGCGTGTGGGAAGCTGGGTGGTCGAGTTGGTGACGACACACCACTTGTTTGCTGAGATTTGAACTCATCTTAAAAATAAACTCAAATCTGTCCTTGAATGTTAAGATATTGTGGACAAAAATCAAAGTTTAACTTAAACAAATCTTATGTAGGACTATATGTCTTATGAACAAAATAAAAGCGTTCTTTGAAAATGTTAAACCTCTTAGTCTTATGTATATGTCTTAAGGACAAAATAAAAACGTATTTTGAAAATGTAATACCTTCTTATGTATATGTCTTATGGACAAAATAAAAACGTATTTTGAAAATGTTATACTTTCTTATGTATATGTCTTATGGACAAAATAAAAACGTATTTTGAAAATGTTATACCTTCTTATGTATATGCCTTATGGACAAAATAAAAGCGTATTTTGAAAATGTTATTCCTTTTATGTAGCCTATATGCTATGATTGAGTACCCCTTAGGCTAGTAACTTACGTATAATTAAAGTTGCTCACCAACCTAAACTACTCGATGTCTTTAACTTTAAAGACATTTCCTTAAAATCATCAAACATCAGATATAGATAAAGATGGTGCACTTTTATTTCCAAAATTTAATTTACTTTAAATCTCAGAAATCTCCCCATTGGTATTCGCGTGGGGGAATATATATATATATATATATATATATATATATATATATATATATATATATATATATATATATATATATATATAGGCCTATATACTTATTATTTTACAAAATTAAATTGTAACACCGTTTTTCACTTTCAAAATGGCCTATAATGGTTGGAAACATTGCAATGTTAAAAAATACAGAACTATTTATTTTATTTTGTTTGGATCTTAAAATTAGTTAGTTGCTTCCCATTTTCAAATTTGTAATAACCAAGGGTAGCTACCTACATTTATGTTTTTAAAATTCTTTAAAATACGAATAAAATCAGCAGTAATAATATAAAAATGAGAAGAAAAATGTATATTTAACTTGACCTGGCTATTAAAATTATTTAATGCCTGCTTGTATAAATGAACACATTATAGAGTTTAGATATGTATCATTATTATTTTAATTTAATTAGAAAAGTATTAGCTATGTTAAATACCTAATTTATATAGATGAGAATTTTTTTCATTTTCAGTATTGTCGAATGTAGTTTCACTTTTGTGGGCATAATTCATATCTTTGTATTATAATAGACATGGTAAAAAAAATATTTAAAAATTTAAAAAAAAAAATAAAAAAAAATAAATATATATATAATAGACATGGTAAACTGATAACCAATGGTGGTTGCCAGAAACCATATTTTTCAACCAAAATAAATTATTTTTAAAAATTTAGTGAAAAAGTACCCAAAAAAATGGTTTTATCATGGTTAGAAATATTAAAAGAAAATAATTACCAGTAATATAATATTAATATAACTAGCTCTCTCATTTTTTATTTGAATTGGTAGAGTCGAGTGTTGTGTTGATAGGGGATGTTATATTATTTAATATAGATAAACTATTGGACTATACCCTATTGACAGCAGTTGTGTATTTTATCATGGAAAACTATTGTTGTGATTTTAATTGGTTTACTTTCCCTGGCCATTCTAGTTGACTTCAAGGAGGGATTGAAGGCGTTGTTTTTTTTAAATATTTGAATTAATAAAATTTTGTTTAGAGTTGTCTCCCTGAATTTCTTGAAATAGTAAATGCAAAGAATTAAATTATTTTAAAATTTTCCATTTTTGTTTTTATATGCAATGTTGTGTAGCATGTAGAGAATGTGAAGACATTGTTTATGTTGTAGAATATTTAAATGAACATCTTGACAATTATTTTTCTACAGTTAATTTAATTGTACTTTGTTGCTTTATTTTGGCAACTCTGCAAAAAGAAATCTACTTCTAGTAAGTGTTTTATCAACTCCCTTCTTTGTAGGCCTGTATGTTTATTCGTGATACTTTCAGTTCCATTTTTACGTAAAAGTTAATTCAATCAGCTTTTCCTGCAATAAAATAAATGTGTGATTCGGAAATAATTGTAACGTTTTGATATTTTTGGTGGCTATCAATACAATCACAAATTAATAGCAATAAATAAATACCGAATTTCCCATAGTGCTCTAGTGTCATCAGTATAAAAAATAATTATTTTTTTTATCAAAAATTCTAAAAAAAAATTATAAATGTATTAATCTTTAATTCCCAAATTATATCAGTACTAATTATAATACCATACCCCACCTCTCCAGAAAAATGCCCTTCTTTAAATCAGGTTTAATTTTATAGCTTTCTCTCCCCCCCCCCCTAACTCCCACCTTAGACACCACCCAACTCTGTT